GGAATGCATGAGGTCCCATCCCCTAGGCAAGTTACTATGGTCAGTAGATAGCTGCTGGAAGAGGAAGAGTAGGTCTTCTTCAGTGGTATGGCCCAAGGCAAGTTGTCTATATGCCAGTGGACGGTAATCAATACACATACACATATGGTCAACAATAAAAGGACTTAGTGGGGGAAAAGAGAGAAAAAACAAAAAATAAAAAACCAAAGACCCACAAAGTTGAAAGGGGTATGGGTCTGGGATGAGTCAGAGGAAATAGTGGAGATTGATATGATCTAAATATATTACATACATATTTATGATTTGTGTATGAAACTAACAAGGAATAAAACTATTTAAATTGATTTATGATTTTCTGTGACTATAAACCTCAGGTAATTTATTCCCATCAGAATAACTTGAATTCATGTTTCTAAAACATGGCTTGAGCTTATTCAGCTGAAGCACAGTACTTTTATTTCCTTTGAAATAGACTTCCTGACGGTGGGTTAAATTTTTTCTACATTGTCAGACCACATAGCTCTAAAACTATCATTCCCATCTTTTCATAGTGGAGCCATTACAATATATTTAATGCTTACCACTTGATTTTACGTTGAACATTTCCCATATCATTAACTGTTTGAAATCTGTTCTCTAGTATGTCCCTTCAAGAAGCATTGAAACAATCCTTAAACTGTTTTGTGATTGAACCTTTTGGTAGACCACATTGGCCAGGATGATCTTGAACTCCGATCCTTCTACCTCAAGCTCCAAAGTGCTAAGATTACAGGTATGCCACCATACCCAGCAATGTCCTCAAGTTCTTAAAGGACAGTCTGGTGATATGAATTATTATATTTCCTTTAATAGTTTTTTTAAACTGTTGCTTTATTATCCAGAATGAAATGTAGCTACCCAAAGCACCAAATCCATGGGTTACATTGTGCCAAGCCACTTGTTTTTGTTTTCCATAACTGAAAAAAAAAATGGTTTTAAAGAGACAAAGAGGAACTGGGTGTTGTAGCACACGCCTTTAATCCCAGCACTTGAGAGACAGAGGCAAGCAGATCTCTGTGATTTACAAAGTAAACCTGGTATGCAGAGTAAATTCCAGGACAGATAAGAGTTACAAGGAAAAACCCTGTCTCAAAAAATAAAAATGAAACAAAATAATAAAAAGCCACAGATGGAGAAAATTTGTATACTGTACGATATTATATTGTCTTTGTATTGTTTGACTGCTGAGGAAACAACAACTGATAAAGGAAATGCTGCTACATTAATTCAATTTATATATTTTAAAAATGCTTTGACTCCAAAATTTAAGTTCAAGGACAAGTCACTGGGGAAAAGGATTTCTATTTTTGTTTCAACAGAAAATAAAAAGCTGTGGATTCCTTCCAGACTAATGTGGTTTGATCAAGCCAGACCCCCTGAAACAGCGTTCCTGGTGATCCAACATTCAAAATAGCTTGAACGAGGCAGCCTTACAGACTACAGCCATCTTCTTAGGATCCCGACGACAGCGCCCCCTATCAACAGAAAGTAGTTTGGAAAGAACGACGCCCAAATTCCCAAATATTGTTTATAAATGTTTGTTTTCATTTAAATGGACTTGGTTATAAATGGGTAATGATCACAGCCAATTATTTTTAAAGGTAAAAAGGGAATTATGGTATTGATATGATTACTTTGTTTTGGAATGGATTTTCATTTATTGATACAATTTAATGTCAATTTTATGATATGTATATTTCTCCTCTTGTTTAGGTATCGTGTTTATTGAGCTCAGTTAGAAATGTAATGTACAATGTAGTACAGATAATAGATAATTATCTATGATAGTCAAAGTTTAGAGTTAAGTTAGTTAGGTTTTTCAAGATACACAGAGATGTATTTGAGATAGATAGGAATTCTTCAAACCTTTCAAAGACCTACAGAATATGGCATTTAAAATGGTTTAGGGTTTTTCTTGACAATGAGACATAATTGTTCCTGGCAACACCACCTGCGTCAGAAAGGAAGATGAAGATGGACATTGAAGAAACTCATTATGGAGTTTACTTCCAATATGGCAAGACTAGCCATTTGGACAAGATACTGCTCTTGTCTGGACTGTTTGACTTTATGCTGTATAAACTGGACATGCAGGACCCAACAAAAAGTGACTGCTGATTCAAGATGGACATTGCTACAGAGATCCTGCTTCATGGAAGAGTCTGCGAGACAGTATGCAGGACACAAAGAAAAGTGACTGTCAAACTGCTAATACAAAAAGACAGTTTAAAGTTTCCTGCTTTGCTGAAGAGTCAGCTAGACACACTATGGCCTATGGGCTGAAGATGGAAGATTACAAAAGAACTTCGGGTGACGAGGCAGTGAGTTGTCTCTGTCATTTCTAGAGTTTATATACTATCCTTCTGTGGTCTTTGATGGAGTTGAAGACAGATAGTTATGGTTATAGTTTTCCTTAGTTAAGCTTAAAGATAAATTACATATAGGACTTTAACTCACAAAGATAAAATAGATGATGAAATATTTTCTTCAAATCTTGCTAAATGTTAATGGACTAAATATTGTTAACTGTGATTCTTATTGGATAACTGTTATGTGATATATTTTGCTATGTTAAGGTTATAACCCTTCTTTTTATTTAGACAGAAAAGAGGAGATGATGGGAGATGTCATTCTGTATATGTTTCTCATACTGGTTAATAATAAAAACACTGTTGGCCAATAGGAAAGGAAGATAGGAGGGACTAGGAGACAAGGAGGAAATAGGAAGTAGGAAGGAGGAGTCAAGATGGAGAGTCTGGAGAAAGCAGTATGCCGCCGGCTCCCTGGTAAGAGAAATACATAGATCAGCAGAAATGGGTTAATAATTAAAGGCAGAGCTAGCCGATAAGAAACAAGTAACCGGGCCAACAGTATTGTATCGAATACAAAATCTCTGTGTGTTATTTGGGGCTGGCACGGCGGCGGGACAAGACCAGGCGACGGCAGGCGGGAAAACAGTACATGTTACAATTCTCACAGGTTGTTTCTCCAATTATCCACACTTTTTTCATTAGACACAAAACAGTGATCTCTAAAAAACCCTTTCAAAAAGTTGAAACTCAACTCACCACAATGGTCATGCCACAATGTATAGAGTATTCTGGTAGTTTCAATTTTTCACAAGGATAAAGTTACAGGAGAGCATAAAGCTTTGATTTAATTTCCTCAGGACTCTCCTAGAAAAAGTCAAGACAGACTTCTTTGTTGGCATATCTTAAGGTGCATCCTGAAAAATGATGCAAACCTATCTGAACCAGTTACTAAGGACTTTTATCTTCTTATATCTCAGAGATAGTTATCTTGGAAATTTAAAAAATAACTTCACTGATTCCACATGTCCTTCATTTTTACCAAGTTCTTGTTATTGTTTTCTTTAAAAAAAAAAAAAAAAAAAAGCAAAGCTGTTTTTCCATGTTCTTTTGTATTCTTTTCTATCTGGTATTGCCATTGTTATTTCCTTGCAGGAAAGTAATAGACTACGAAAATACAAACGTTCTCTTTCTCTGCCATTTCTCTGAGGAGGCAGATCACTGTCTCACTGTCCCTTTCTCCCGCCACCTACCCCCAATACACTTTACATATGAGTTATATAGAAGGAGGAGGAGGAGAAGAAGAAGAAATAATAATACAGACTTCTGGCACCAGTGTGTCCAATGTTTTGACACTGCAATACAATGCTGTCAACTATAAACTCCATCAAGGTTGCTGCAAGATACTATGCAACCAAGTTACAAACAATAGCTATCCTAGGCCTCAGTAAAGCCTTAAAGTCTTCATCATAACCTCTCCACCAAAGTTTTTATTTGAGATATACTTTAAATGAGCACACACTTATCACACATAACATTCACCATTACTCTCAGTAAAAGGTATTTCATCTCAAGGAATTCCCTCTGGCTTAACTAATTGAATGAACCCTGTCTACACTTTCAAGAGGCTGAGCCTAGCACTATAACCCAAGGGTATATAAGCTCTCCAGTTTCCTTGGTTTTATCTGACTTTTAAACAAAGCAACCCCCCCCCCACACACACACACTAATTCTGGTCAGATTTGTTGGTTTAGGCCCTAATCCCAGCATGTGTCAGGCAGAAGTGCTCTCAAGTCCCAACCTAGTATGGACTACAGTAAGACCCATTCTCAAAAATAAAACAAGCAAACAATCACTGGTGGTGATACACATTGACAATGCTAGCACTCAGGAAGCTGCCAATCTACACAGCAAGATTCTGTTTGATCAGTCTCTTACTAGCCCACCTACCTAATAGGCTCAAACTGTTATGTCTTGCTTTCTGCTGTTGTTCTAAGTATGTTATGTCCCAGGTTGATCTTGACCTCATGATCCTAATGCCTCATCCCAGGATCACAGGCATGAGCAAACATCCCTGGCTTGCTTCTAGTAACTTAGAGATTAACTGTAAGGTCAGCTACTCCTGGGCAAAGGAAGGAAGTATCTGCACACAGACATCTTTTTTTAAGAAGTCCAAATGGTATTTGACATTGTTCTTTTTACAACTAAGATTCTTTAAAAAAAATATTACTATGTGTGCTCATGCATGTGGAGGTCAGAAGGCAACTTGTGGGAACTGGTCCTCTCCTTTTACCATGTGAGTCTGGAATTGAACTCAGGTTCTCAGGTTTGGTAGCTGAGTTATCACTCAGGCCCTAAGGCCAGCATCTTACAACTTACTTTTCTCTAGATTTACAGAACTCAGGGTATCTGTCTTTGGATGGTATCAAAGAATAGATGAAGGATTTGCTATCTTGTTCTCTAACTAAAAAGAAATCGTCTTTAATTGGCTCAGAAGTCACCTGTTTTTACCTTAAAAACTGCAAGGACTGGCCTAGGAGACAAAATTTGATTGATACCTCAAAGCTAACCCAGTAGAAAACAAAACACAGGCTCTGGGTGATGGAGACCCCACTCAGCATGAAGACTTATTGCCCCTTGCTTCTCTCTTACCTCTTTAGAAAAGCTCTTTGCACCCAAATTCTTCTCTAAACAGTCTTTGCTGGTGGCAGTTTCCCATCTTCTGTGGTTTTTGTCTTTCCAAATCTTTTCTTGCCCCAAATCACTGGGGAGCAGTGAGGAACAGCCAGACCTGGATCAAGTAACAGCATTAATTACTACCAAAAGAATATACTTGTTAGTATTGGGAACCACTGCTGCAAACACAAATAACAAATACTATGTCCATAGATAAATAAGAGGCCATACACATGATATTGAGGAGGACAAATTCTACCCACCTGCCTCAAAAACCATCATGAATGGTCCCAAAAGTGATGAAATTAGTACATGAATATAATGTGGCCATGTAAAAGTGACTTGAAACAAATGAAGGCACAAAATTTAGTTATTACCACTTGCAAATATTTATCCTCTAACAAAACAGATTTTGTCATTCCATTTAAGAATATGGTATATATAAAAAGGAGGTGAATGATGAGAGTGGCCAAATGGCAGGAATATAGGTCCCTGACACCTATGTGCAACAAAGACACCTGGATAGCTAATATTCTTTTATGTAGGGTAGAGATAAAGTTTATTCTCAAAGACCACACTTACTCTTTAGTATCTCTATCATCATAGCCAAACTGGATCTTAATTAAAATAAATCCCAAGCTAAGGAACACAGGATTTGTCATGACCATAGTGGCATATAAGTATTGTGTTTTACTAAGACAGAATCTCACTGCATAGACTAGACAAGCCTCAACATGGGGATCTTCCTGCCCCAGTCTCCCTGGAAACTGAGGTCAGCACTGCCACCACTAAATGTTGTACTTGGAGTGAATGAGAGAGAGCAGAAAGAAAAGGAAAGATATTACAGGAATTGCAGCTACAGACAGGTTATTAAGTGGGACAAAAGGAAGAATTTGATTTTAAATCTGAGCCACAGAGAAGATGCCCACATTAACGGTCAAGGTAATATAGGAAACATGAGGGAAGAAGTGTGTACATATTAAGATCTGCCAAGACCATCAGATATGTGTTTTTAGTGCTCAAGCAAGAATTGGACATATAGGTCTCACTTGCATTAAAATGTTAGTTTAAGCAACAGGAACAAATGAGATTGTGAATGCAGAAGTTAAAGGTTGACCAGGAAGGATTCCATTATCCTTTAAGAAAAGTAAAGCAACAAGGACAATGATTTCCAGGAAGCCTTACATGTATTCTCAGTATTGAGAGGGACAAAAAGCCAAATAGAGTTAGGGTGTAGATGAGAGATCAAGAGCTCAGCTAGCATGTACTAGGCCCCGAAGTTAATCTAAGTTGTGGTAGAATATTATTTTCAGGTGTGTGGCTTTTGCTTATGCTCATTTGTTTAACTCTGTGAAGCTGTGTTACTTACTGTGCCTGTCTAAAACACCTGATGGGTTAATAAAGAGCTGAACAGCCAATAGAGAGGCAGGAGAGAGAAATAGGTGGGGCCGGCAGGCGGAGGGAATATAAATAGAAGGAGAAAATGAGGAAAAGAGAAGGAGTAATATAAGGAGAGGAGGACGTTGGGGTCAGTCACTCAGCCACTCAGCCATGGAGAAAAAAAGGAAAGTTAAGATACACAGAAGAAAGATAAAAGCCCAGAGGGAAAAGGTAAGTGGAATAATTTAAGATAAGAAAAGCTGGCTAGCAGAAGGACTGAGTAGTCTAAGAGACCTCAGACAGTGGAGCCAGGATGTATCCCTGGTGCACAAAAGGACTTTGCGAACATATCCCCCATGGAGGGATAACTGCCTTAATCTAGAGACAGGAGAGAAGCCCTAGTCCCTACTTCACATGACCTATCAGATCTACATGACCCCAACTGGATGGCATTCCCCTACATATGGAATTGGGGTGGGGGGATGGGAAGGGAGGGTGGTTAGAGGGCATGTGAGAGGGCAGAGGGGATAAAAGGGAGGGAAGGAGGGAGGGAGAGAGGGAGGGAGAGGGAACTGGTATCGACATGTAAAATAATAAATTAAATTTAAAAAAATGCTTTGACTCCAAAATTTAAGTTCAAGGACAAGTTACTGGGGAAATGGATTTCTATTTTTGTTTCCACAGAAAATGAAAAGATGTGGATTCCTTCCAGACTAATGTGGTTTGATCATGCCAGACCGCCTGAATCAGAGTACCAGGTGATCCTACATTCAAAACAGCTGGACAAAGCAGCCCTACAGACTACAGCCAGGATTTCTGAATCTTCTTCGAATCTCCCATGACAGCGCCCCTTAAATTCCCAAATATTGTGTATAAATGTTTGTTTTCATTTAATTGGACTTTGTTATAGAAAATAAAATAATAAGCTGGCTAGAAACCATCCAAGCTAAGGCCAGGCATTCAAAACTACGACTAAGCTTCCATGTGATTTACTTGGGAGTTGGGTGTGTCCCTATAAAAGACAAAGAGCCCAAAAGAGCAAAAACAACCAACAATACTAAGTACTGTGAGAGAATGAGGGACAACAGGTCAAATATATACTTCTCAATTTTTTTCTTTTTTTCCATTTTAAGCTAAACAATCTCGTTCAAATATCCCACTGTTTCAGCACACTGGTTTACAGGAATTCCAGTGACTTTTATTATTGAATTGGGTGCTGAATATAAAAACCAGAATCTCTTGCATGCTAAGTACACACTCTGTCGATGAGCCATACTCTCAACCTTTCAAAATTATTCAAGTGCTAGAAATAACCTTAATATGAGCGGATTCTATAAACTATCATTTTGTGAACAATTGAATTTAAAGAAATATCTGTATACTCCATTTTAATTTAGAACATTTAGCTGTCAACTTACTGGTTTCAATCAATAGACTCCATTATGAGATTAAACAATGCAACGAAAAATAAAGATTTAGAACTCTAAAGGTCAAAATAACTACTGCACTTTATGGAAGTCATTGAATCAATGAAATCTTTACATCTTTACATCTTAAAGACCTGTCTCATAGCCCAGTTTTCATATGTTCTAGCCTTTGTCCCAAAACTTTCTGCAAATTAAGATGGCTACTGGCATAGTAAGGAGGAATTCAGACTTTCCTCCCACCACTACACACAGCCAACACATACATACATACATACATCCTTTACCTAATGCTTACTTTGATCATCAACTTATCCTTTTCTGTTTTCCAAGAAAGATTTAGTATGGATCCTGGCTTTAAAAACTAATCTTAGAAATTTGGGGTTGTTGTGGATCCCAATTTTGTTTGGTTATTTATATCACAAAATATCCCCTTCCTGTACTGCTGACTCAGCAGAACCACATTAACTTTGAACAACTGAAAACTAAAATGAAGGCACTGAGGAAAGTCTTAGCTTCTCATGTCTATCCTAACTGCTAAAGTTAATCACATAATATCTTGTCTCTAACTGGACAGATTTTCAGATCTGGCAGATTCTTTCAAATGAAATATAACTAATGCTTTCTACTGCGTAAGTGGGGTGGGTTGGGTGTCTTAATTCTTTTCAAGAGCAGCAGATGAATGGGAAAAGGAATGTGCAGTGTCTTGCTCTTCCCAGCCCTACAGCAAACTCAAACATTCTCCTTAAAAAACGCCCTGCCCCATGATGAGAATACCGAGCATAGTTACAGACAGATCCAGAAATGTATAAATCTGTAGTGGATTTTTGTTTGTTTGTTTTGTTTTGGTTGTGGCTAAGTGCATAGAACATATTCAGCATGTGTGAATTCAATGTGAAACTTCACAATTTCCTTTCTGAATTGCCAATTTTAATTATATTGAAGTTCATTGAGTTGTACTGATGTGGGGTTTGGTAAATTTTGGTGTGATATTTTTATTTATTTGCAAGTTCTTTTATGATAAAGTTTATAAAATAAAAAATTTGTGAAGAGAAATTTACAATACATTTTCAACACAGTTGAAACAAGAACAGGTTCTATGGTGAGGCGCTCCTGTAAACTCAGCACTTGGGACAGTGGAGGCAGAAGATCAGTCTGAGCTACATACCTAGTTTGAATCGGATCTGGAGTATGTAGGGTTCTGTCTCACAACAAAAAGTTATGTGACCTTTTCCCCTTACTTGCCATTTCTGCAGACCAATACTTTTTAATTAATTTATTTATTTACAGGCCACTGACGAAATGCTGGCCGCACACTTTGAATAAAACTACTTTCTTGCAACCTGATGTCCACTTAGACCAAAGGATGTGGCCATAGTCTAAAGGGCTACTGCCACGAGCTCTCGAGAGGGGCAATAGTTCAGCAGTCGATCCCTGGCAATTGACAGGAGAAAAAAAAAAAAAAAAAAAAAAAAAAGGAAGGGCTCTCTATCGACCCAGAGGTTAGTTGTTGAGACATCCCGCACCGTGTCATGGCCGGTTTCCCATTCTGAATCCTGCAGCCATGGGAGGGATCGATGGCGGGGATCTTCGCGCCACAAACTCTGCCGAGAGAACTCTCGGAAACCAAGGAATCAAGGGTGAGCCGTGAAAGCCTCCAAAGACCAGCAAAACAAAGCCTGGGCTCAGCGCCGCCACCACGCCTGCCTCCCAAACCCAGGGAGGAGACCCCGGCGGAGAAGAACCGGTTGTGGGGAAGTCTCCCCGTCCCTCCATCACTCGGGTCACCGTCCGGAGTCGCCTGGGACTAGTTGCTACAGTACACACACTTCCAGAGCAGAAAGCCCCCTCCCACGTAGCCACACACAAGATGGCAGCCGCGCACCTACCGAGCAAAAAGCTGCGCCACCACTCCAGCGAGGCTGCCCTCTAGAATGCGGGGATCCCGATTGGCCGCAGCAGATAGTGCGAGACCCGCCGAGAGCGGGGCTGACCAATCATGTGGCGGCACTCTCTAAACAGCCGCGGAACGCGCGCGGAGCTTCCGAGGTGTTGAGCGGCAGGGGCTGTAGCCAATGAGCGTCTGGCCGGGCCGGGGAAGGCGGGCGTCTCGTAGCGGCGGAGCTCTCTCGCTAGGGCTTGAGTCTCCAGGGCTGAGGTGAGGGCGTCTCTGGGCAGGACGCTCAGGTGTGGGGTGCGCGGGGCGCGGCGCTCCGCGGGTCAGCCAGCTTCTAACGTGCGCGAGCAGGCGGCTCGCAGTCCCGGGAGCGGAGACGGCCCGATCTCCCCGCTCGCCTCTGTCTCGGGGCGCTCGCCTTCTAGGCTGCTAGCTGTCTGTAACGGGCTGTGAGCAGCGGAGTACAGAATAGCAGGACTGGAAGCTGGTCCATTCCACAGGTAAGGTGTCACACTCCCTGAATAGATGAGATTGCTTATCGACCGAAGTTGATCTGTATCTTAGGAGCGACTGATTGACACGTCCAAGATCAGGGAAGTCGGGACAGAAAGGATTGTGATTGACAGCTCTTTGGCTTGTGGACACTTAGCATGGTTCTCTAAATGTGAATAAAGAAGACCGAGGTGGGGAGGTTAATTTACGTTTAACCTTAGCTTGGGATAATCAGAGCATGAGCTCTTCCAACTGGGCTGCCACATGTGGTATAACACTGTCTAGGAAACGCCAGAAGCTTTCCCTCCATTATTATTGTGTGGGTTACATTGGAACACATGGAGTAATGTAAGTACCCGACCCCTGACTTACTGTAAATGTCATGCCTCTCAAGGAATCAGGAAGATAGTGGTATCTTAGCCTTTTTTATTTTGGTTTTTTTTTTTTTTTCAAGTAAAAAGGAAACGTAGATCTAAATCAAAGGGGCTGTATTTTCTACAAGATAAAAGCCAGAGACCGGAAAAGAACCAAATTTACAATTGCACTGCAAGCCAAGTGGTGGTTGTGCAAGCCTTTTATTATGAGGTAGGAAGATCTGTGAGTTCGAGCCCAGCCTGGTCTCCAAAAACAAAACAAACAAAAATTCCCCTGACAATGAAATATTAGTCCTGTCTCCAGAAGATAAGCTTACGGTTTAAATTTTCTTTCTTAACGCTTCTGCTTTGCAAAGTTTTTTCTTTTGTAAATCAGTAGTTTTCAAGCTACACTGGTGAGATCTTATTCAGTTTGTTGTTGTCTGCTCTCTGAAGTTCAGTGTAGTGGAGACTGACTTTGAACAACTGTCCTCTGGCTTGCCCCTGCCCTTTGCTGAGATGATAGGCTGTTAGTGAGTGTGTTGAGGTGTGGAAGTTACTAGACCCATCCTGAAAGGCACCTGGGCAGTGTCTCTTAGTGGCTCTTGGGTATCTGTAGACTTACAATGCAAAGGTTGCTTGGCTGGAGATACAGTTCCTGGTTTATACTTTTAACATTTTGTATTTCTGCTGAGTGTCATTACCGGTTTGATACACACTCCATTTTAATTAACAGACATTTCTTCATGTTTCCAAGAATTGCTTCATTTTTTGTTATTCTAAAGCATATCAAGATTGGTGTAGTATGCAAAGCCTGTCTGTTCTGGGGTAAAGCTATAGCCCAATCAGTAGAATACTTTCCTAGCTTGTACAAAGCTCTGGTTTGGAATCTGATCCCTTTGTAAGTCCATTGTGGTGGCACATGTAGGTTATCCCAGTACAAGCAAAAGGATCAGAAGTTCAAAGCCATGTCCTTGGTGTCTTAGCCAATTCAAGGCTAGCCTGTCTGAAAAAGTATATTCTACTTGGCACTCAGTGGACAACAGCTTATGTGTTTTCCAGTTTTGAGGAATTCTTGGTCATTATCACCTCATTCCTTTATTTTAACCCCATAAATTTAACTACCATTTTCTAGAGTACTAGGTGGCTTTTCCCAAGAGTCTTTTCTGTGATTTTCACCTGAACAGCTGATTGAAGAACTGGTTTTATATCCACGATACTTAATTGGTTATTTTTCAGAATTGCACATTTCTTTTGCCCCTTGAGGATATCAGATATATTCACATTTATTTTAGAAATATTTAATCTTAAGCACAGCCCCAGCAGTTTAATGGGCTTGCTACTTCTCATTTTCACAGTAATTTTCATGTATTCAGAACTCCCATTTCCTTGGGAGGTTTCCTGTCATCTTTTGTGTTGTGATTTTGCTTGGCATTATCTTGAACTTTTCCTTTTTCATTTCCTCATAGAGGCCTCATGGACTGTATCAATTGAGTTCTCTTTTAGTTTTAAACATGAACTTTTAAAGCCTTCTAATATTCCTCTGGTTTATGATGTGGAAAAGACAAAAAAATTTATCGTGTACTAATACTTTGATAATTCAGAAAATTTTTATTAGTTCTATCACTAGATATATATCATAAGGAAACAATCAGAAAGATGTACAAAATGCTTATTTTACTATTATGTGTAACAGTTTAAAAATATTGAATGTCTGATACAGAACTTTATATTGTCAATTAATAATTAAAAATGTATTAAAGCCTTTGTGTATGAATTATTGTCCAAAACATATAATATAGCCATTTAGCTTATATAAAAACATCAATGATGGGGAAAGAATCGATATTGTGATCATGGAAAAAGCACGTACACTAAAATCTAAATTTTGTTTTTAAATTGTACACTGAGAAGATAATTGCTAACATTTATTGAATTCCTCCTATGTGTCAAATACTATTCCTAGTGATAATTTTATCCTCACAACAATGCATGAGGCTGTTATCATGATCACTCCTATTTTTTAAAAGTTTTTATGAAGTATTAAGAGGGCTAGCTTGTTGATTATTAATATAGGTTAAGTGTTAACTAACATGTTAAACATGGGCAATAGGATTATGGGTGATTCTTCTCTGTATTTTTCCTAATTTTTTATAGATTTTTTTTAAAGTTAATGTATGTTTTTATAACGCTTTGTATTATTTTTTAAAGATAGAGTTGTTATATAGTATCTTGTTCCTCTTATTATTTTTTCTTTGTGAATATGCACCATTCTCTGTTTTTCCCACAGAATGTTTCGTGCATTTGTGGACCAAAGCATGGACTTTATTTTTATTTTTGAAAAGACATTGTCAATGGTCCTGCTTCAGCTGTCAGTTTGACATTGATGGAGATGTTTTGTGTGGACTAGTAGTCATTCTGAAAGACTTCAAGCATGGCTTCTATGTGAAAACTTGAGTATCAAAGAATATTATGTAATGGTATAAAGACATACTCTATTTGAGGACTACAAACTTCATAGAGACTCCATCTGGACTCCAGGATACGCTCCAATCAAAGTGGTTCTCTTGACTCACCGAATTTTGAAGAATTTTATATTAGTAACACCAAAAGATGGGAGAAAGAAATGGTAGGTCATGGAGCACATTGTTACATCATGTCCTGATGTTTGTAGACAGTTTGTTCTAAACTGTGGAATGTCCGCGGTTTCATTCTCAGTGATTTCTTTTTTTCTTCCTCTTACCTCTTTAGTGTGCACGTGTCTCATATATGCACATTCGTGGTAGAGGCTCCCACTTGTGGAAATCACATGTCAGGACTGGGTTATCTTCCTGTTTCTGCCTTTTTTTTTTTTAAAGCAACCTAGTGCTTGCAAATTTTCCTTATCTTAATGCACATAGTGTTACTGTCCCTGTGGTTGCCTCCCATAGAACAATACAAGTCATTCTTCAGTCTTTTCACAACTACTTGTGTGATCTTTTCAATGTGGCCTAGACTAGCCAGGTTGGCCTCAAAGTTGTACTTTTCCTTTTTTCTAAAGCTGCTTCTGCCTTTTAAGTGCATGGTCACAGGTGTGTGCTACCATGCCTGACTTCTAAGTGGTGGAAGAAGCTTTATCTAATCACAACACAATATGCTTAAACCCGAGCAGCCCTATATGTAAAAGTAAAGTTAGCATGATCTATAAGGCCCTTGATGTCATGGCCCCTCCTAACGATTTGTCATCCATTTTGTTCTCTCAAGTTACTTTTGTTTCAAATCTTAAAGCCTTGTAGCTATGCTATGGGGAATTAAAAGCAGACTTTCTAATGTGGAGTATGTATCAGAGAAATAGCACCCCTCCTGAGGCTACTTCTTGGCAGTACCCTAATTAACCAGACATTTGCTTTGGGAAGGTGACTTTCCCAGTAGGAGTTGAGAATCAGAGGACCCAGCCTCCTTCCTATGAAGATTCTGCCTCCATTGTCAACTTGCAGGTTTAGGACTTAATTTTTGTTCTCAATAGCTACTCAGGTAGCCTTTCTAAACTTCAATTATTATATCCTTTTTTTTTTCTTTTCTTTCCTTAAGATCCTATTAATGTTAAATAATTTTATATTGCTTGTTTTGAGACAGAGTTCTACTATGTAGCCTTGACAGTCCTGGAATTCTTAGAGATCTGTCTCCCTCTGTGTTTGACATTTTAGGGTTTTTTGTTACTTTTAATGTAATAATGTAAATACAAGATTTGGTTTTTGTTAGTTTTGGTTACTTGTGTCATTTATTTTTAACTTGAAAAACTTCTAGAAAAACTGACTAAGATTTTAGTTTGCTGTATATCAGAAATGATAGCCCTTAATTTGCATAAATTTCCTTGTAAAAACCAGGTTAATATGTAATATGTTAAAATTTGTTTTGTAATTATTTTTTAAGTGTGTGTGTGTGTGTGTGTGTGTGTGTGAGAGAGAGAGAGAGAGAGAGAGAGACAGAGACAGAGAGAGACACAGAGACAGAAACAGAGTAAGCTTAACTGCAGGCACTTGTGGAAACCAGAGGCATTCGATTTCAGGTCTATACCTGGAGCTGAAATTGTGAACTGCCCCACATGAGTGGGAGGGGAACCAAACTCAGGTCCTCTGGATGAGCAGTATGAACTCTTAACCACTAAGCTATCTCTCCAGCTCCTATAAAAGACTTTTTAAAAAGTAATATTGTTAGACATTTAGCCATTTCAACAATTGATAATTGAGGTGTTTCTTTCTTATCTACTTCTACACATAATAGAGGTTGTATCTTGGAAATGTTAAAGATGAGTGTTATTTATACATTTATCTTTGCCCTATTATGATTCTAGCCTGGAGTCATTCTGTTTTCCAGTTAGTATCTTTGAAGTTTTGAGTTTTTTGGTTTTTTAAGATAAAAATGTCTGGTAGCCTATACTGGTCTTGAACTCACAATGTAGCCAAGGATGACCTTGAAATTTTTCTTCCTGCTTACCTCCCAAGTTCTGGGATTCTAGGTTGTACTACTATCAGTTTTATACAGTGCTGGTGATAATCAAACTCAGGACTTCATACATGTGATGCAAGTACTCCTCTATCAACTGCTACATCTCCAGCACCACTTTCTGTTTTTGTTGTAGTTATTTTTTGAGACAGGATCTCTCTGTGTAGCCTTAGCTGTTGTGGAACTTGATCTGTAGATCAGGATGGCCTGAAACTCATTGAGATCCACCTGCCTCTGCCTCCCAAGTGCTGGCAATAAAGGCATGCACCACCATAAGCAAGATAATTGGGTTGTATTCTTTATATCTAGTTCTTTGTAAGGAAATATGCTCCAAATCTTTTTTCCTCAAGAAAAGTGATAGACCAATTGAATCTTAATTTTTGCCTAGAAATGAAGTAGACTTTTCTCTAACTTGTGCCTTAGGGAAATTGGTGCACTTCGATTAACCTCTTAGATTATCCACTTCTATTTTAGGTGATGCAAGGAGTTTCTGGATGGAGTTACAAGATGATGGTAAAGTGGATTTTATGTTTGAAAAAACGCAAGATGTGCTGCAGTCGCTGAAACAGAAGATAAAAGATGGGTCTGCCACAAATAAAGGTATGAAAAATGAATATTATTGTTACATACGTAATGCAGTATAATTCTCCTGTGGTTATTTTAAACAACAGATTATCGATTTTCTAAGACCCTAATTTGAGCTTTACCTACTTTATGTATGCTTTGCTTCTATGAACTTGCTTTCCCCATGCATCCCATAAAAGTGGGTAAACCTGATTTTTGTAAATGATAGCTTCTGAAGACTCTCTGTCTACCCCACTGTATGTGTGGCCCAGAAGTCCTCTTAAGTACTAGGCTTAAGCACTCATCCTTTAGCCTCCCTAGTAGTTGAAATCTGGCTACATTTTTCTCCTTTATTTATATTTATTCTTTTTATACCTTTGTGTCTTTGAAGTGGAGGGGAAGAATGTTGTGCAAATAATACCTGTTTCTTGTATAAGTTTGACATAAATAGGAAAATCTAACAAAAAAATGTCTCTTCCATCATTTAGACAACTGGTCCACATATGGTTCATTAGTGTTAAAAGGCATGATCAGCATGTGTAAGGCCCTAGGTTCAACAGCATAAATATCACCTGGTTCAAACAAAACTTTCTGTACTAACATATACTGCTTTGCCTGCTTCAAACAGTACTTTCTGTACTAGTTCTATGAAAACAAAGTTCAGTTTTTTATTTTTCTATGTGTTTTCAACTCTAGTTGGTTATAGAACATGAGGCTGTAAATGTCAGATCTTCTAGCTCATGAGGATATAGTTGTAAAGCAAAGATGTCTTCAACTGTTGCTATTTCTTGATACTCTCCCTGGTTGTAAAAGAAAACCAGAAGATAGATAGGTGCTGGTACTGGGAGGATTTTTTTTTTTTTTTTTACAGTTTTGTTTAGAAGTGAGAAGAGAACAACTCTGATGTTTCTCTACCTATTCTGAAACAATATTAAATTGTGTGGGAAAGATGGAATTATGCCAGCAAATAATGCAAATATAGATTTAGCAAAGATACAGGTTAAAAGTTTCTTTGGGGACAGGTTCTTCTTGTCACTGCCAGAGGCTTTTTCTCTCAGCATGGAAACACTGCTATACTATGCTAGTGACATTTCAGACTATGACAGTCTATTGTTTATTCTCATTTTTATAAAGCAACTTTCAATCCTTCATGAGTGAGATATATGTAAGTTTAAATACAATTCTATCACTTTTAGTTAATTGACATTAATAACTAACCTCTCAGTCTCATGTGCAGATATCATAAGCCTCTCTCAGGGGAGCTGAAAGATTAAATGTAAATTGTTTAGTATTGTAGCTGGTAACCTGAATAGAGGTGATTGGTATTGTGTTTATTCCTTTTATTTTATCTTTATTTTTTTTATCTTAACAGACTATGTCCAAGCAATGATTCTGGTAAATGAAGCAACCATAAGTAACAGTCCAGCAAAGGGTATGTTCATTACTTATTCTAATCCTAATATTCTTTGTTCTTTCCTTGCCAATCTTAATCTGTCATGTTAAAGATAACTTGAAATAACTTGTTAAGATCCACACTCCTATGTTTTTTGAACCACAGTTTCCTTATGAAAAGTCCTACCCCCTCCAGAGATTGAGAACACACCCAAGGAGAATGAAAGTTTATTTTTTTTTCTTCATAAAATGCCATATAAACAGGGCAAATAGATTCTAAGAGTCTAAAGAATTGTAAGCCTGTTTTCTATAAAGAGCACTGTTAGGGAGGCACATCCCATTATAGGTAAGTTAATGGATAATTATTTTTTTAATTCACTTTGGTTTCAAACTGCTGGTCTTCTAATAGCTAAGCATGTTTAATTTAAAAATATCAAAGATAGGGGCTGCAGAGATGGTTCAGTGGTTAAGAGCATTGGCTGCTCTTCTAGAGGTCCTGAATTCAATTCCCAGCAACCATATGGTGGTTCACAACCATCTATAGTGGGATCTGATGCCCTTTTCTGGCATAAAGGCATACATGCAGAAAGAGCACTCATGTTCAGAAAATAAATAAATCTTAAAAAAAAAAAAAGGAACTTGTTTAAAAAACTAGGCATTGGTGGTGCACACCTTTAGTCCCAGCACTCAGGAGGCAGAGGCAGGCAGATCTGTGTGAATTTGAGGCCAGCCTGGTCTACAGAGCAAGTTCCAGGACAGGCCCCAAAACAATACAGAGAAACCCTGTCTCTAGAAGCAAAACAAAACAAACAAACAAAAAATCAAAGATAACAAATTAAAACTTATATTCATGAGACTTTTGACATCAGGTGTGTACATTTTCTGCAGCAAGCAAGTTTCCAGTTTCATGTCATTATTGGTGAGGTGTAACATGTTAAACAGTCAATACCCCAATACTTGCCCTTACTTGAAATGACACTCATAAACCCTGGGCCTCTGTGACTTCTGGCTGACTTGTCTGGGTTCTCTTAATACCTGCTATAGGTTTAATCATTTGCTAGAGAGGTGGTTCAGTGGTTAAGAGTGTTTTCTGCTTTTCCAGAGGACCCATGCTTGGCACCTCGCATTCATCTGTACCTCCTCCTGCAGGAGCTCTGATACCCTAATCTGACCTCTGTGGGCACCTGCATTCATGTGCACATACTCCTCCACACACAGATACACATGTATATGCATCATACAAAAATAAAAATAAATCTCTTAAAATTTTTGCTGTGATAGCTCAGGAAACTCAAGGAAATTCAGTTTGTCCTCTTAACAGTTTATTATGAAAAGTGTCATAAAGTGTTATAAAGGACACAGATTAACAGCCAGGTGAAGAAGCATGTGGGAGATGGTCTGAAGGAATGCAGGTATCCCAGTCTCAAGTTTGAGGAGTGTGCTACCCTCCTAGGATATGAATGCTTTCAACAACCCAAAGCCTCTGACCCCATTATATAGAGCATTTGTGGAGAGCTCATTATATAGGCATAAATACATGAGTAGTGCACTGACCACTGGTGATTGACTCTGCCTCCCACCTTTCTTACTTCATGGTTTGGTTCAGTCTGAAAATTCCAGCCCTGTAATTGTGCTTTCTTGCTTTGTTTTTCTAATGGACCAGCCACCATGCTGAAACTCTCTAGGGATTGTAGTTAGCAGTCATCTCAGTAGTGAACTAGACAAACATCACCCTGGAGGGTCAAAGCTTTTAGAAGTGTTTGGAACTAAGACCAAAGTTACAATAGAAGATGCTGTTCTCACTCTGTCACTCAGGAAATTATAAGGATTATAGTAATTCTGTCAGGAACTAGGGCAGACCAAATATATAATTCTTGTTGTGCCATATATACCAAGACTATAAATGACAGTTTGAAGTTATTTTATCAGTATTACCATTCCATAAATTTTAATCTGTCATAACTTTGCCCTAAGTTTTGAAAGTGCATTTATCAAATTTTAATTTATATTGTTAGATATGCTCAGAAAATTTTGATAGTTTTTGTTTTGCTATCAAAATTTGGAGGCTTAAAGTTTTTAACTATGAAAAAGTTGTGTGTCATGATACCAGTGTATTTTGGGTAATTTTTTTTCTCAGTACTCTCAATTTCAGTGCTCATGTGTATGTTTATATTTTTAAGATGGGTCCTCTTTAAAAAAAAAAATTCTTTCCTTTCTGAATTTTCAGTAACATTGGAATTATAAAGGAAGAAGTGTGTGTGTGGTACTGGGGCTATAAATCAAACTCATAAAGAAAATTGCGGTCTAAAAGGTGCATAGGTATATTCATTCAGTTTACATAGAAGTGAATACTCAACATAGCAGTGAGTTTTGAAAACTGATATGTTAGTAGGGAGGGTAAGGCAGAAGGGCACTTGTAGAGGAGGTGGTTTCTTAGAAGAGAGTGGAGAACAGAGAAGTACATATGACCTTTGAAAGGTGAATGAGCCCTGAGGAAAATACTCTATACTCTATACTCTAGATTGTAATAGTGTCTGCATGGGCATAGTGCTAGCATTCTGTGTTTTCTTGTGATGGCTCAGTATTCTGGTTGAATCTTCTGAAAGAGGAGATCTATAGCTTTCGATTTTCCTTTTTCTTTGATGATCCAATTTTTAAAAATCCATAGGCAAGAAAAGCTTTTCCTTTATTTGTTGATTCTCAAATATTTCAGCTCAGAACAATCCTTTTGCTACTGTAGCACCTCTGTATCCGTTCATAGTGAACACACCCTTAAGGGATTACAGTAGTTTTGTAGGAGAGGGAAAGAGGAAATTGTACAAGGAGTTAATCCTAAGAGATACTTCTTTTCCTTTCTAAAACAAGGTATTTTCAACTCAGTTGGGTTTTTGTTTGAATCATTATCAATAGAAATGCTACATCATGATTTTTGTTTTATATAGTCTATTCAACTGAATTGGAACAATTTTATTAGAATAAAAATGTCTGTGTATCTATTTCCCAGTATAGAAAAACAAAAAGGCTTGGTGTTGAGATCTAAACAAGCCCTTGGAGATCTAGTTCTGCATTCCCTAGACACTGACTAAACCACTAGTTACCTTTCCTTCCCATGCGTAGTTACAACTGAAATTACTCGTTGTTTTCTCATTAAAAAAAAAAAAAAAGAAAGAAAGAAAGAAAAAAAATAGATCGGGGGTAAAAAGATATATAAAGAAATAAGAGATGACAAATAAATCAAAGGAGGTAATCAAATGCTTTAAACCCTTCCTCAAACAAAAGGAAACAAGATATCCCAACTTAACATTTTATGGCCTTTAAAGGCCTTAAAACACCATGCTATTTGTCTATAAAATTTAGGCAGAACTACCAATACTTGATATTCACCTGAAATAGCTATTATTTTGATTAAATTGATATTAAACTCATTCTCCAGGAGTACTTTCTTCAAAGATTTTTTAAGTTATTCTGAATTATTTTCTTAATACTTTTGAAAATATTGACAGTCTTATTGCAGAGTCTCAAAAATATTAGTATCTTTGCAAATTTTAGTGTTCCATATAGGCATAATTTCTAATCAGTGAAGATATGATTTAGCTATTTTAGTGAGTGATTCTTGTTTGTATTTCTGTTGTTCATATTTGTATTTTTTCCATGTAGATCATATACCAGTGACTCAGAATGAACAGGAAAACAAATCAAATGCATTTCCCTCTACATCATGTGAAAACTCCTTTCCTGAGGACTGTACCATTCTGTATGTATACATTTACTGTGTAATACTCCCTTAATATGCTCTTTACTAAACATCCCTAAGTAATTACTTCTTTTTATAAAATTTAGCTTAGGATGTCTATGTTTTGTTAATCAACTGAAATTTGCCAAAGCAACTTTGAGGAAAAACCCCTAAATATCTGGGTGTATTAAAATTGCATTCAATGTCAGTTCAATATTGTCAGCACCTATGAGTGTCAAGTCTGAGAAGAAACTCTGCTGTCTTACCCTGTCTGCTCTGCCACTGACTTCAGTGAACATTCTGTAGCTCCCAGGAGACTTGTGCAAGAGCAGATATGAGGCCTGGCTGACAACAAGGCCTGCACCAAAACCTCCAAGTGCTGATAAAACCCCCGTCTTGCTGCTTTAATTTTACTGTCAAATTAAACCGGCCCATTTAAAAAATTCTCAAGAAAAAAATTCTTTTCCTATTTTTACTTTCTGTACTTTGAAGAATATAGATAAACACTGTTAGATGTAATTTGCAGATTTTATAAAAAGTAGAGATGTCTTGTTGGGTTTGGTTGATTATTATTCTTATTCTTATTCTTATTCTTATTCTTATTCTTATTATTATTGCCTGACAAGGTCTCACTAGAGAGTTGAGACTAGCCTTGAATTGTGACCTCTGCCTCCCAGTTGAGACATCAATGTAGTATGAGTCTCAAAAGAATTTAATATGCTCTTATAGAAATCAAAGTTCACACTTTTATAACTCCCCTCACTGGCTTTTAGTAGCTCACAATGTTTTTAAATTAGGAATGTTAACCTTATATACAGCATAAAATCTCATTAGTTTTTAAACACAAACCAACCATTCGATATAAGATGTTTCTTTCACAAAAATTTCTGCCTAACAAGTTCTCTTTCAGTTTCTGCTTAGGTAATTACATAGTTTTAAAGATATAGTTTGTTATTTTTAATTATGTGTATGGATATGTGCACATGTGAGTACAGGTGCCCACAGAAGCCAGAAGAGGGGGTCCAGGCTCAGGACCTGGAGTTACAGGCTGTTGCTAGTTACCCAGTATGGAACTAAGCTCAGTCCTTTGGATCAGCATGAAGCACTTGTAGTCACTGAGCCCCAAGCACTTACCGTTTAGACCAAAATAGAAGATTTGGTTTATTCCTGGTAAACTTTACTTTTTGGATAAGTTCATTATAACAGCATACCAGAAAGCTTTTAATTTTACACATCTTGTCTTTCTAGATTATCTTGGACAAATACCTTTCAAATCTTTTAGTATGATCACTGAAAATATACTGAATGAAATATAGCTAAAGCCAAAACCTTCTTTGCTTACTATATCAGGGACTCTTTTTACCACTTTTTAGAAATATCTGTTCAAACAACTCTAAATTTGCTTTGCCCTATTACTGTCTGTTCTACATACATGTCTTATGTGGTTGTCATGAGAAACTAGTTTACTGCTTTAGGATTCTGTAGTATCACTAAACTCTATGAAAACTTTCACACACACAAACACACACCAAAAAAAAAAAAAAAAATTGGTTGACCTGGAGTTTTCTGACTTAATTCTTGGTCTACTTAGCAACTAGTGTTGCCTTTTCAAATTCTAAATACCTAGAATTATATGCTTGGTGCCCTGTTTTTAGCAAATCAGGTGGTAGCATTTTCTCTGTATTGTTTTTCAGTATTTGAAGTACTGTTTTTTCACCCCAAAACTCCAGAGTTGAATATAGAGTCCCTGATGCTTTTAAGTAAGGTCAACTTCTATTATATTCTTTTAACTGTTAGAACCTCAGTTCCTTTCCATTTTAGTCTGGTCTTTATAAAACTGAGAGCCATACTTACAGGTGAAAAAGATAACAACAAACTTATTTTCTAGAGTCTCTTCATTCTCTGTTAATTGCCATCTTCCCCCCAATATTATTTTCTTGTCCTAAGCCTAGCATTAACTAAAAAGAAAAAAAATTTTCATTTACATTTTTTAAAGCCCCAATTCTTTCCAGGCTCAAGTCTTAATAGTACTTTCTGTATAAATTTGGACTAATATCTTTATTACTGATCATCTTTCCTTTGTTAAATTTTTAAAAAAGCTTCAGCTGGGCAAATAGCACTTAACTTTAATCTGAGCACTAGGAAATCAGAGGCAGGAGACCACTGCAACTTCAAGGCTGTCAGTGAGTTCCAGTTCAGTCAGGTCTACATTGGAGACCTTGTTGATTAATTGATAAGTAGGTACATAGCTAAGCTTCCCAAAGAAATTAAAGTGACTTCTTTAGCCACTAATCCATTCCATTAGGTATATTCCCGATTGCACACTCAGAACTTCATTTCTTCAGAACTTCTGAGAGCTCTTGGACTGGGCTGTCTGTTACTCAGAGATCAGACCTGAGTTCATATATCCAGGGACATCTTTTCAGATGAAAGAATATGTCTAATTAAGCTCAGAATTTTCTTCTTTGCATTAAGAATTCCAAGGCAACATTAAACTAGAATTTTGTTTGTTTGGTTGGTTTCTTTTGTTTTTCTCAAGACGGGGTTTCCCTGTGTAGTCTGACTGTCCTGGAACTTGCTCTGTAGACTAGGTGGCCTTGAACTCAGAGATCTGTCTGCTCCTGTCTCTTGAGTGCTGGAATTTTTCTTTACTTTTCTTTCCTTTTTTTTTTTTTTTTTTTTTTTTTTTTGTCTTTTTGAGACTAACTGTCCTGGAACTCACTCTGTAGACCAGGCTGGCCTTGAACTCACAGAGATCCTCCTGCCTCTGCCTCCTAAGTTCTGGGACTAAAGGCGTGCACCACCAGTGCCCAGCTTATAGTGCTGGAATGTTTAAAGGAGCGCACCACCACTCTATTGACTAGAATTATTTTAAAATAATTTGATTTGAATGTCCCTGATGGTTATGAGTTGTTTTTGGTTTGGTTTTTTTGTCGTGTGTGTGTGTGTGTGTTTGGTTATTTTTGTTTTGTTTTCTTTCAGTAGTTAAAACCCCTTAATTGATCAGTAGTCACATAGGCAGGTTAATAAGCTATATGGTAGATTCTCAGCCCTCTGCATTGCTCAAGATAAACAACATGTCATAGTGGTAAAATCAAGCATGAAAGTCTTAGGGTTAGGAAGTAGGCTTTCAGCGTTTCAGTTTTGAGTGGAATTGAATTTCCATTCCACATAGGTGAATTTGAAATTCGTAGATGCAGTAAAATATTTAATTTTTTAAAAAAGGATGTCTCTATGAAAATTAGCATAATTCATTTTTCTTTCTTAGTCAAGTGCTTTTTGGTTCATCAAGAACAATTTGGTAGAATTTATTAGAGCTATACCAGTGTGCAGTGTTGACCAACACACAAGATGACAGTTAACTTCCAGCTGCTAAAACACACAGGTATAAATATAAATTACTTGGTTTCTCATAGACAAGCATGTGAATCTGGCAGAATGACTCTTGTGTATATACATGTATATATTCACAAAGGGCGCAGCAAGCAGTGTAGGCACTAAATTGGAACCAGGAAGTGGGTGCTGAGATGCTGCTTCACTGATGCAGGGTCTTCTGGTACCACAGCATTTTACATAGCTGCCTCAGCTAAATTCTTATAAATTCCTAGTTTTATATGTTACTTCATGATGTATTTTTAATTTAAATCTTGAGAGATGGTTTTAGATATTTAATGTATATATGTGATAATCCAACAGCTTTGAGACTGAGACTGAGCAAAAGCAAACATGTCTGATAGTTTTCTCTCTCTCTCTCTCCTTGTCTCTCCTTACCCTCACATATGCATTTTTGTTTTGGTGGTATTGGGGGATGACTCTAGAGTCATCTGGGAAAATCATTTGAAATAAAATTGGCAGGGATAGAGAGATGGTTCAGTGGTCAAGACCCCTTGCTGCTTTTCCAGAGGAGTTTGGTTCTCAGAACTCCTATCAGTTGGCTCCAGGTCCAGGGGATCTGATGTCCTCTTCTGACCTCTGCAAGTACCTGAACATACATGGCATACTCGACACACACAGCCACACACACACACACACACACACACACACACACACACACACACCATAATTTTTAAAAATGTATTAAAAATAAACCTTTTAAAAAGTTTATTATCTGCTATTATGCTTTATAACTAGAAAATGCTTAGAAGGAACTTGGCATCCAAACATACAAAGCAAGAAATTCTAAGCAAGCTGCGCAGTGGTGGTGCATGCTTTTAGTCCCAGCACACAGGAGGCAAAAGCAGGCAGATTTCTGTGAGTTCGAGGCCAGTTTGTACTGTTTCACAGAGAAAGCCTGTTTTGAAAAAGAAAAAGAAAGGAAATTCTTAGCAATAGATTAAACACAAGAAGATAAACTTTGGTTAGGTGTGGATCAAAGGGTTATAAAACCAGCATTTGGGTGTTGGAAACAGGAAGATCAGGAGTTATCATTATTATATAGTGACTTCTAGGCCAACCTGGGCTTCTTGAACTCCCTGTTTCAAAAAACTCAAAACTGAAAGGCCTTGAGAGAATAAGAAAATACCAAGTTTGGAGGTAAAAGACTTCTATAAGTAACAGAGTACTAGTGGACAAAAATAGGTTGTTTTTGTTTTTTTTTTTTTTAATTATTTTATGTGTGTGGGTGTTTTGTTTTCATGTATGTCTGTGCACCACATGCATGCCCGGTGCCTGAGGAGGCCAGAAGTGGTTATCAGTTCCCATGAGACTAGAGTGAGCTACCATGTGGATGCTAAGAATTGAACCCTGGTACCCAGGAAGAACAGCTATTGCTCTTAACCACTGAGTCATCTATCTAGAATGAAAACAAGTTTTTAAAAAAGGCATAGTATCAAAATTAAAACATAACAATTTTAGGTAAAATCTCAGAAATTTTTTTCCTACATATTTTTCCAGAAAACTCTCAGCCACTCACAAAGGTAAGTAAAACATAAAAGATAAGATTGGAGGAGTCACACTATTATTTGTTTGTTTGAGACAGAGTTTCTTTGTGTAGTCTTGGCTGTCCTAGACTAACTCTGTAG